ATAGAAAATATGAAAGAATGGTTGTCACTTTATTATCTTAAAACCGTGTTTCTTTGGTTTGCAAATCAACAAGTTTTATGGAAAAGCCATTAACATTCCATTTTAACTGAATTTGATTTTTTACGTATTTGTACCATTTTAGCGATTTTAGTTTTTATTAGATTTGAATTCTTTAATTATTTTAATTTTTCCTTAGTTTACAATTGCAAGAGTACTTTATGAATTTTTCAATTATTTGAAGGATTATTTTCATATTTTTCATGTAAATATGGAATTTTACTTTGCTAGCAACAAGATCAAACACCAAAAAAAAAAAAAAAAAGAAAAATCCATGATACATGAAGCAGGTAAAAAGGCCCCCCAAAATGGAAATAGAGGATGAAGCAGATTGGGCTAGACCGACAATAGATGTTGACTTTGGTCCCACTTTCGCCCAAGGCCTATAAAATTAGTCTAACTTCACCTTGGCCCAATTCATAACAAAAAAAGTTTAAAATATAAAAAACGAAAAGTCCTTAAACTATTCAAAACAATCTAATTAAATTTTTATATTGTTTTATTTAAACAAGCCCCTTAATTCTTATCCTTAACTAAAATCTTTCTACTCATATAATAACTTGTTAACATATATTTAAGACATGTGAACAACAATATTTGTAAAAAATTATACACATGTAAAAGTAAAAAATTTTAAAAAAATTATCTAACAAAATTTTTATTAATTGATACCATAAATAATTATTATTATAAAGATAGAAATAGATAAAATTAAGAAAAAAAATGAAATGTATATATTTATATGAAAATTAATAAAAATGCTTAATTTTTGAATATCTTAATCGAAAATAATTAATAAAAAATGTATATAAGTAAAATCATTATTTATTAATAATAAAATGTTTATATGTAAAATTAATAAAAGACAAAATATCTATATTTATATAAAAATTAATAAAAATAATTAATTATTTGATACCATGATCCAAAGTAATTAATGAAAAGGCAATATATATGTATGTAAAATTAATAAAAAAAAAGAAATATTTTTATTTATATATGAATTGCAAAAATAATTTCAATTTCATTTTAATTAATTTCCATATAAATATAAATAGTTTATTTTTTATTATTTTATATAGAAATTTCTTTTAATTAATAAATACTATTATTATTTATTATATTTATTAAAACTATATGTATATTAAAAATATTTATTATTTGATATCATGATTAAAAATAATTAATAAAAAAGAAATATTCATATGTAAAATTAATTAAAAAATTAAAAAAATACTTTTATGACCTATAATATACATATTATTTGACCAAATATGCATATGTTTTGTTTATATATATATATATATATATATTTGATAGTCACTTGTAATTTAATACTCATTAAATATTAAGATCAAAAAAGCAATTTTTATTTTTTATATATTAGTATTATTTCTTTTTTTTATTCATTATTTCTGATCATGGTACTGATTACGAAATATTTTTGTTATGCTGCCTTTTTTAATAATTTATCATTTTTGCACATTTTATCATTGTTCATTTATCTTAAAATATGCCATTATTAATTTAATTTTTAGAAGAGCTTAAATAGTAAAAAATAAAAATTTAGAGGCTTATTTAGATACGTAAATAGTATAAGAGCCTAATTAGACTAGTTTGCAATTCGTACTATGCATGAGATTTTTACTTTTTTATAAAATTATTTTAATTAATTAAATTTAATATGATAATATTATATTTATTTTAACTAAATTTATATGCTATTATTATATTTATTTCAATCTAAAATCAATATATAAAAATCTTTCCATACAAAATTTCATTTAAAATTGGAAAGCATATTTTGTCTTTATTTTTTCAACAACCTATATATTAGATTTGCTAACTTAGAATTAAAAAAAAAAAAAAAAAAGAGATTTGGATTTTAGTGTAAAATATGTGATAAAGTACATAAAAATATAACATTAATTCATGATTGGATAATCACTCATTTTAAAATAAGTTATTTTAATTTATATGAATTCATCAATCAAATAAAAATATTAAGAGAATTTATAATCTAAAAAATATATGTTAAAATTAATTTTAAGTTTTTATTTTTATATGTTAAAAAATCTAATAATTTAATTACAGTCAATACATTTATATTTATTTTTGTCAATTAACCATTAAAAAATAAAATTAAAAGATTTTATTTCATACTTGTACATATCACTTTTTTTCTGCTAATATATACATATATTTTAAGATCATAATTGAGGCTAGATTATAAATATAAAATATTAAATAATATAAAAATCAAATCAAGAGTACATAATAATAATTTAATGTAGGATAAATTTTTTCTAAATAAGATAATGAAATTGATAAAATTTTTATAAAAATTATATAGTTATTAATTTAATGACTATATAGATTTCAATTTTTATAAAACTTTGGTTTGAATGTCAAATAGTTGATAGATAATAATTTTTTAAAATATGTTTTTTATACTAATTATTTAATTAGAAGAAACATAAATTCTTTTCTCATGAGATAAAAAAGAAGTCTTTTCATTTAATGTAGTATTATAATATTAGAAAAACAATATATAAAATTGAAATTAAAATTTTTTTAGTATTAATTATTAAATGGTAATACATCAAATCAAACTCCCATTCTTATGTAATGTCAATGTCGAATGTTAGAAGTTAAAAATAGAATTTAATTTTGGGCAATTTAAGGTAAACAATAATGAAAAATTAAATTTTAATTATAACTTGAATTGTAACTTATTCATAAAAAGAAAAAACATTGACTATTTATAAGAAAATTATTGTAATATTATATTTACTATACAAATTATCTAGATAAATTAATTTTTAACTCTTAATCTCTTGAAAAATTTAAATACTTGTTTAACTTTGCTTTGTCGATAACACTCAATTTGATTAATACTAACACTATCTAGAAACTTGATTTTTACTTTAATTTTTAAAAAACAAATTTGCTCTTAAAAACTTTGTGTCTATTAACACAATTTCTTATTATTGAATCTATTTTTCCAAATTGTCAAGGCCTATTGATGGGTAAATAACAAATCTCTAGTAATGTAATAATTTATTATCTCTATTTTTCAATTTACTCCAATGAATGCCAACACATTTTTAACACATTTCTTAAACTTTAAAGACACCAATTAATTTAGTTAGAAGTAATTTGTGGAGATTGTACGTTAAGTGATTAATGTAAAGTTTAATTTCATTTCAAATTTTCAAAAGAAATGACTAAGTAATCAATTAGCATAATTCTCATTAGATATAATAATATTTAATAAATTAATACATTTATAAGTTAAATAACGAATTAAATTTTATTTTCATTTATATGTGTAAGATAATTGAATTTCATTTTGTATTGAAATAATTGAAATTTAAAAATTGTTAATCCCATGCAAGACTAATTAGTGTAAGCCATCTATATTTGTCTGGGACATTCCCTTACGTACCGTACCATATCGTATTGTTTTCATGGCAATAATCCTTCATTATGGTATTTGAGATCAGACGTAACTTTAGTGACAACTTGTTACCAATTGGAAAAGCTTACAAAACTTTGTAGTCAATATCAATCACATAGCATATGTATATACATTTGTATATAAAAATTTTAAATTACTTCATTAAAAAATAAAGTAAAAATAAAATATAAAAATAAAATAAAGCAAGCCATTTTATATTGTGTATGAAATGTTTAGATTAATTTCTAAGATATATCAAAATATTGGTATATTATACTAATATTGTTCCGAAAACTAAAACTAAGTTTTCTTTTGTTAAAAAGTGAATTTTAATATTAAAAAACAATAAAAAAAATCACACTTTGAAATAAAGAGGAATAAAACGAATGAAAGAAAAAGAAAGTATCAATGGAACAAATAAAAAGAAAAGAAAAAAGAGAAACGGAATATAATAGAATTATAAAATAAACATCCAATGTTATTATCTCTAATGGACAAAAACATATTTTTGTTTATAATGTTGAAGTTGGTGTGAAAATTAAGAATAAAATTTAATTGAAAGTAATTTAAGGTAAAAAATAATTAACTTTGATTACAAATTGAATTGAAACTTATTTATATAAGGTAAGAGTAATGAGTATTTAAAAAAGAATAAATGTAATAATTTAAATTAAATAAAATTTCTTTTTTTTTTACATTATAAATGAATCAAATCAAATTAAGCATATTGATTTTTTAAAATTAAAAATATGTAAAATAAAATAAAATAAATTTATTAAATGAAACATGTCATTTATTTATAATTGTACACATATAAAAAATAGAATATCTACAATGAATATTTTCTTTTATGTTGAAGCCTTTAATTATTATATATTTATATAAGATACGATATAAAATTAATAAAGTATTCAAGGAATTGAATATTTATTATAATAACTTAACTAAAAACTAAAAATGAAAATAATGAGAGTAATTTATGGAACGTATAAAAACTATTATTTAATAAAATTTTAATTTTATTATCATTATTACATTAATTTCAATTTTTTTAATTTCTCTCAAATATATTGAATGTACATTATATTTGACTATTCTAATTATCAAGTATAATTTACTTTCAATTTAAGATGTTATTACTCTTGATTGGTTTTTAATTTATTTTTGTCAATTAATCATTTAAAAGTAAATGTTAATAAGAATAATTGAATGTATTTTTAATAATGAAAATAAGATATTTTAAATTAAATTTATTTTATTATTAAATTTTAAAATTTAAATATATAATTAATTTTAAACATATATCAATTTTTTAAATTATCCACATATTAAACGTATAAATTATTTATATCACATTATTTTTTTTATTATAGACTTTTACTTTTATATATTTATATAAGAGTACGTGAATTCTTAAGGGGCTTTTTCATATATTAGCCTAAAAATTTTTCAAAGAAAACGAAGAACACCTTCAAAGGAAAGAGAAAAAAAAAAAAGATAACGTCGTCGTTTACAATTACAAGCATGGTTTTAACTTTTTGAAGCATAAGACCCTTCCCTAAACACAGACACAAATTTCGCAAAAATCATCAAATCTGGAACTGGAATTGGAGCGCCTCTTCGTGATTTCCCTTCCACCATTCATATTTCTTATTATTGAGCTTCAACCGCTAAACCACTGACACAAGATTATCAGAGTATTCTTCCTACGTCTTTTCAATTAAAAAAATCAATATGTTCTACAGAGGGTAAATTTTTACTTCTTCTTCTTTACTTTTTTTTTTTCTTAATTTCTTCTTTTTGTTTATTTCTTTGATCCATATATATGCTTTTCTTTTCTGGGTTTTGTTTTTTAAGTCTGTTTTTGAAGAGTTTCAGAGTCGGGATTCATGAAATTTACAGTTTCATTTTATTTTTTATTTTTTGTTTTGCTCTGGCGTTATTATTTAGGACTTATGCTGTCTAAATTTCAATTTAGTTGTGATAAAAGAAGGAAAACGAAAAAGAAAAAAAGGGGCTTAGAGCTTAAATGGTTTTAGATAATTGGTTCTTGAACTGATTCTTTTATTTTCAATATTTGAAGCGTAAACACTTCTTTCAAAGACTTTAAAGAACAATTGTCTATGTCTCTTGATTATAAAGTTTGCCCACTTTTATGCACATTATACATAGCAGCATCAGCTTAAAATGAGTTAATCCTTTCTTTACCTGTTCTTGTTTACCAGTAAGAAAGTTATATATTTTGCACTTCCATTTGCTTCTGTTTGTAGGTTTTCCATAGTACTTTTGAGTATGATGAAATTTTTCTGGGATACTCTCAAATCTCAATGTTGGGAAGGTAAGCCAACCTCGAGCCTACGAGGAGCATACCAAAGGTTCCATACATACATGTTGGACACTACTTGTACCCATAAGCTTTTGTTAATGGATTCTTATGCCTTCCGTGCATATAAATGTATGCCACCATTACATCCTAGTTCAAACCAATATGGGATATTATGCTAACATGTGAACCTCAACAAATTTCCTAGGTTCACGCAACTCCACTGTGATAGTAAACCTTGTTAATTCTCAAAGCTACCAATGTACCTGTAAGCCAACACTTAACCACCTTGCCATGTTTAGGTTATCCCAGTGCACCACTGTTCCATTAATTCTTAGCTGACCATGCACGTTACACCAGCACTCAACCATGCATTTCTTAGAATCTAAGTTGCTCTAAGCTCCTAGCCCACCACATTTGCATTTGAGAAACACCACATTAACAAACTCGTCCAACCAAAGTCAAACCTAGGCAATGATACCACAGCAAAACCACAAAGAAGCCTGAGACCACCACTTGGCATTTCTCTTAATTCTCATTTTGATCTTTCAAATTTCTCCTCTAGCTAAAATATTATTGATAGTTCTCAACAGATGGTAAAAAGAGAAGGGGCTAAATTTTGAAACCATTGCAAAGTGGGGCACAACTAGAGAAATACTTATCAAGGGGTTCGTGTCTGGTAAGATGGGAGAATGTGCGTTAAAAGGCTGAATAGACACTTTATTTTGGGGCATACTAACTTGGCTCTAGATCTTCTTATATTGTGCATTATAATGATTTGATCCCAACTTCCCAAGTATAAATTCATGTAAAGAAAGCAAGCTTCTTCTAATAATAATCTTGCACCTAAACTTCCTTTGGTGCATCATATGTGGAGTGACTTTGTGTCAATGAAATTGACTCTAGTAGCGTTTAGGCTTTTCACACAAGTTTCTTTGAGATAGAAGTCTATGTTGTCTGTGATAGTGTTTTCTACATCATACAGGGAAGTGCACATTAATACAGCTTTAATGGAAAAAGGAGTGAAACTAATCACTAGTTTTAGGCAACTAGGCTGTAAGTACAGCTTGATGAGCAACTTCCTAAACAGTGACTGTTATCTAGTTATTTATTATACATCTAGCCTGATATATATCTGTTATCTCCATGACCCCATGACTACCATAGAATGCGTGGATATGTTTGAAATGAAAAATGATAAAAGCACCCATTCAGGTTAGACATTGCAAATAATAATTTGATGATTACTCAATAAAGTTTGGACACGTAAACAAAATCTAATGGCAAAGCTATTGCCGAAAATCAGTAGTTTGGCTTGGGAGTAGGTGTGTGAGTGAATTTGGCAAAGTTTAAGTTGGTTTTGATCCTGTAATACCTTTGTTTATTTGTAAAGTAGGGGAGCATTGGTTGGGTTGTGGGGTTGAAGTATTTCAAAATGGTGGGTTTTTGCAGTTGGTATTTGAAAATGGTGCAATTTATATTAAGAGTGATGAAAGATTCATCTTTTATAGGTATTCTTAGGAGATGAGTTGCATAGAGCAACAATGATGTGTTAGGAAAGTAGGGGAAAAAGTGGGTATAATGGAAAAAGAGCAAGAGTGAGACTAGGAGAGATATCTCATTTAAATGGGTGGAAGGTAAGGTAAGAATGAAGTTCATGAATGTGATAGTTACAGAGTGTGTAACGATGCATGTGGAATGTTGGCAGCTTAGAAAATGAAAAAGGTTCTAGTTTTAAGAGAGAAACAGAGCCAATGTGTTATAACACATGAGAGTTAGAAGCCCTTAAGGAACGGTGTGAGGGGTAATTTATGGCCTCAGAGTAGCTTTTCACCAATTGGAAGCTTCTGTAGTTTATTGTAATTTACTAGAGGAAAGCACATTCTCTGATTAAGGTAAAGCACAGTTTGAGCATTTCTTGGAAATATTACAGGAAGTTATGGAGCTCACTTTTCTTGAAAATCTTACAATTAGTGAGTGCTTTTATTTGTAAAAATTTTAAATATATAATAAGTAATCAAAGGGTTGTTTGGATCGCATATAACTAAAAAGAAAACACAATGAATCAAATAGATGAATCTTTTGCTTTCCACCAAATAAGATTTTAGACATGATTAGCTATTACTTTATATAAAATTAACATGTCATATAATATATTTTTCTTTTTTCTTTGCAATATGAAAACGCAAGTGGCCCTTCATCCTTGCATTTCTATATTTATGGAGTTTCATTTACCAATGTTAAAAAATAAATCAATATCTATTAAAGTATTGACCAGTCTCATCTGTTGCTTTCATGATTTTTGGAAACTGCAGTAAATATACTGATGGTGCTGATGGGCGTGAAATGGGTGCAAAACGTCAGCGGATAATTGATCAAGGCCCTTCATTCTATAGTAATTCTCCAGGTTCAAGCTTTATGTACACTGCTCCTCCTCCGTACTCATATGTTAGCCAACCTCCACCTTTCCCTGTTGTTCGACTTCGTGGTCTTCCCTTCGATTGCACGGAGGCTGATGTGGCTGAGTTCTTCCATGGTCTGGATATAGTTGATGTCCATTTTGTCCATAAGAACAACAAGTTCACTGGTGAAGCTTTTTGTGTTTTGGGTTATCCTCTTCAAGTTGATTTTGCCCTTCAGAAGAATAGGCAAAACATGGGCAGGAGATATGTAGAGGTTTTCAGAAGTAAGAGACAGGAATATTATAAGGCAATAGCTAATGAAGTGGCTGATGCTCGTGGTGGTTCACCTCGCAGAAATGTTCCTAGGGCCAAATCTAGCGATGAAACAAAGGATTCAGCTGAACATACAGGGATATTGAGATTGAGGGGATTGCCATTTTCTGCAGGAAAAGATGATATTATGGAGTTCTTTAAAGATTTTGTGTTATCAGAAGATGCAATTCATATAGTATTGAATTCAGAGGGAAGGCCAAGTGGGGAAGCATTTGTGGAGTTTGCCAATGCAGAAGATTCTAAAGCTGCAATGGTGAAGGATAGGATGACACTTGGGAGTCGTTATATTGAGTTGTTCCCGTCATCCCCTGAGGAGATGGATGATGCAATTTCAAGAGGACGGTGACTCTTCTGATAAATATCTTTGTTTTTATCTGCTTTAAACTTGTTATGATTTTGCACCTTGTTGTTTTTCTTTCCAGCTGGAATTTTCTTTACTAGTTTTCTCGAGTCAATAGTAAGATACCTTCTAAGCGTTTGAGAGCAGATTGTCTATGTATGGGTTAAATACAAGAGGCTACATTCTTAAGTAGGCTTTTATTTGATCTATAGTCTTTGATTGTGGCTTAGAAAAAGGGTACAAGTCTTATATCCTGTGGGCATTTTAGGCCAACTGGATGATAAGTTTGCTGTGCTATGTTAGTTGTAACTTTATCTTCAATCTGTTAGGTAAAACATGTAAAATTTTGTATCATTGTCAGGATTCTTTTAATATTTATAATAGGGTAAAACCAGTGTATGAACAAGTTTATATCTCATTGTTTGGAAGATTTGGCTCTTTTTATTTTGCTTTGACATTTTGTTAACCAAGAGACCTGATATTTATTTTCCTTCCAAAAAAGGGTTCCAAAATGTTAAAAGAAGCATGGTTGGAAGAGAAAGGGCATATGTATTCTGGGAATATTTGCATTATTCCTAGTATGTATAACACAAGGTATTTCGTTCATTTTTTTTTTTTTTAAATCTGATACTTGTGCTATTGTGATTGAGCTCTTATCATTTGAATTGTATCTAGAAATCACCACTGAGTTTCATGGCATTGCAAATTTTGTTTATAATATCTACAAATCTCATGATGCAAAATGTCATATTGGTATTTTTAATAGCAAAATGTCATCAAGGTACAAATCCCTTTGAGTTTATTTATAGCATTGTTTTCGAAATTTTAATTGAATTTCGTAAGTATATTGAGAAACTCAAGGTAACTTCCACCATCTTTAGTCAACTCTTAAAGCTTGCGCTGCTTGCCTTTAATGCATTCTCGCTGGAAACCGTAGTGAAAGAAAAAAAAAAGCATATTTACTAGGCTTTTCAAAGCGCCGAGATTTGTGCTCAATAACAGTTCAAGCCTTCTAGGTTAAATAATGCAGAATAAGAATTAAAAATTTTATTTAGATATAATAAATAAATAAGGACTTAATCAGATTTTTTTTAATACTTGAAATTTTTTTCATATTTGAAGAAATTTTAATAAACATATAAGCATCACACATGCAATTTAAGTATAAAAATATTTCAAAGTTGTATTTATTCACAAATCCTTTTATATATGTTGAATTTAAAATCAAGAAAAAAAACTTGAGACAAGGACTGAAAAATAAGAATCATGTATGTATCTTTTTTATTCAAATTATATCAAATAATCATATCTTACACAAATATATAAAAGTTAAAGCTTTTGATAAAAATGGAAATTGTCTAACGTGGATAACTTATATAATTAATATGTCGATAATTTTAAAAAATTATCATGTATCTTCTAATAAATTAATTATATTTATGTTTTATTATATAAATATTAAATCATTTCAATTAAATTCATATTAAAGGTAATAAAACTTTAATTGCCATCATCATAAAATAATTTTGTCACTTCTTTTTAATTGTAAATATTCAACTCTTAAATTATATTTGTGTAAAAAAAATTTAGTTGCCAATCTTTTAACCTATGACCTATTTATTTACTCAACCATTTAAGCTATGTTATAAATATAAGTTTAATATGTATATATATTATTTTAAAATAATTAATAAATGATTAAATAATTAAAAATAATTTTGGTAGATATAATATCAAATGAATTTCATTACCATTATTACTCTAATTTCAAAATCTTTTCTTTTCCATGTCTCCCTAACAAGTTAATACACATTATGTTTAATTATTATAATTGTCAAGTATAAATTACTTTTGATTTAAAATACTATTATTGATCTTCATTTGGTTTTTAAATTCATTTTGATCAATTAATCATTCAAAAATTACAAATAATTCCATAATTATTTCTAAGACCATAAAACTTATCCTATAAATAAGGTTGTTTTGGGATGCTTAAGAAATAGATTGTATCGTTTCAATATTTTTTTCTCAATATTTTGATATTCCTTTTGCCATGTAGTAAAAATAGTTAGTTTTTCTTTCTTTGTGATGTTAAATATGCAGGTGGATTAGATGCACAATTTTTTGTGATGTTATATATGCAGAGGATTAGACAAAATTTAATATAATCAATTACTTCTTAAAGTTTTTTTTTTTTATCAATTTATGTTTGGTTTTGCATTATTTTAGTTACTATTCTATTTTTTTTTCTTTGGAGTAAAGCTCTTCCAAATTCATGCTTTATCATAATCATATGATAAGTTATGTTTCATCGTAATCATATAATAAGTTATTTTTTTGAAAAAAAATCATTTGAAAATACATTCCCTTTAAAATAATTTGTTTGGATTCCAAGAAAATTAGGTAAAATTTTTTGAAAATTTAATGATTTGGATTTTTTTTTATGTTTTAGCTATTGCTATTAGTTATATTGCAATTTAAATTATAAATATATTTGTACATATTATTTATACTTTTTTGTAAGTTTTTGTTGTAATATTGACTTTTATATCAAATATCCATTATTCTTTTCTTTTTGGATCATAAAACAAGAGAGCAAGTTATGTGGTAGATGAAAAGAAAGTGATTGCATATCACCTATCCTATCATATGTAGTAAATATGTATTTTTTTTATTTTTTGCATAAAATGATTTTGTTTAAGATATGATTTTTTTTTATTTTGCTTTAGTCATTAGATATGTTTATTGTTTTGATATGATCATTTTCACAATTCATCGTAAAATGGAGCTAATTACTATCCAAGCGTAAATGAAAATTGTTAAAAGTAATTTTTGATTGATTCTATTTTCTATTTACTATAAAAAGGAGCTAATTATGTCCAAGCATTAATCAAAATTTTCATTGATTCTATTTTCATTACCTCTATAATTTTAGGAGTGTTTGTATATTAAATAAGCATTATTATTAATTGAATTATTTTTGGTGAAATTACTCTTAATGCTAATGTTATTATTCGTCAACCATTAGCATTTAATATTTACATTTTACATTATTTCAAAAAAAAGAAAAGAAATCTATATTTTACTTTGTCTTGATAAATAAGATTTTTAGGTTGTCCTACATCACCAATATAATACATTATTAATGTAAAAGGATGACCACTAGAAATAACCTGTTTTACAAAATCAATTAGAATTTTGTATCCATTTCTTACATATTTGACTATAACATGCTTAAGGCATTCTCTTGCAGTAGAAATCTTAACCAACATACCATTATGTTTGTCTTTCAATTATCCACCTTCACTTTAATGTCAAAGTCAAAAACTTTACATCAAGAGTAGACCTTTCCTACATAGGTATTGTTATTCCTATCACCCAAAATCTCTACCAACTATTTTTTAACTTAAAATTTCAAATTCCTATTAGTATTTTCTTAGTTGCCATTTCCCTTAATCCATTACTTTTATTCTTATTTGATTTATACAATGCATGTTTGTAAATACATTCATACAATATAACGATCTTCTTTTCTATCTTTAAATACATAGTTTACTTTCATTAAATTTTGTTGATCGATTGAAATGGTATTGTTCATTATATTACATAAATATTTATTTTAATTTATTAATTTCTTTATTTTAGAATCAATTGACAAATTCAATTTTTAATGTATTAACAATTTCTCTATCTTATTTTTTTAATAATTTTGTTTCAAGTCTTTTGTGGTATTGATAAATTTAGTTATTCCCCAACATATTTCTTTTTTTTTTTAATGATGATTATTTTATGTTGGATGCAATTAGTTTTCATGCATTTTTTAATCAACTTTTAATTTAAAAAATTTAATAAAAATTAAACTAATAAAACAAAGATTGGATTGTAAATTTTAAATTTTTAACTGCAATTGCAAGGTTATAAAAGATACCTTTTAGAAGACATGAGGTTTTGCATTTATTAACATAAGTGAGGTTTTTCTTTTATTGAATGAAAAAAATATTTACTTTTTTCCTAAGGCAATTTAATAATAAAACTCCATTTAAAATTTTTTTCTATAATTATTTTTTATTAGTAGATTTTTTTTCTTCGTTACATAGAATTTTTTTAAAGTTGAATTTCATATTAACTTTTAGTGTGATTGAATTGTTGTTACATTTTAATAATTCAACTATTTATT